TCTCTCTCTCTCTCTCTCTCTCTCTCTCTCTCTCTCTCTCTCTCTCTCTCTCTCTCTCTCTCTCTGTCTCTCTCTCTCTCTCTCTCTCTCTGAGGGAAAGCAGAAGGGGGGGGCGGGCGGCAGAGGAGCGGAGAGTGGCAGAGAGCGCAGGACACGCGGAGTAGGAGCGGTTGAGAGCGGAGGAGGGGCGGCGGAAGTCAGGGGGAGAGGGCGGAGGAAGCAGGGAGAAGTGTACTGACCTGTGTCTGCCATCTTCGACCAGCGTCCAGGCGTCATTGATGCAGAACTCCGAACGGCCAACCACAAACCACGGCCAACCACAGGCGAGCGAGCGAGAGAGAGCCACAGCTTACAGCACCAACGGCCAACCACAGTCGCGCGCGCGCGCGCGCGCGCGCGCGCGCGCGCGCGAGAGAGAGAGAGAGAGAGAGAGAGAGAGAGAGAGAGAGAGGGAGAGGGAGAGAGAGCTTCAGCTTCACGACCAGGCGCTTCACAATCGGGCACACGGCGCGCTTCACGACAAAAGCAGAAGCACGACAACACCGAATACAACGGACCGAGGGCGCTGCACGACAACAGCCAGTCCAACGGGAAAGTTGGGTTGGCCCGCCGCCGTGAGCTCCAGTAGTACCCCACGGCACTCGGCGCGTCTATCTGAGCCGTCGGTCTGGACCGACGGCCTGGATCTTGGCGTGGTCCTAAGATCTCAAGACCGCATCTATCCAGGCCGTCGGTCTGGTAGGACCTGCCATTTGTTACATGGTTCGGTCGATCTGGGCCGTGGGCTGGTAGGATCGACGACGGCCCGGATTTCAGATTTGTCACATTAGCGATTTTAATAGCGTAGAGATAATCCACGTTAACCCCGGCTGCTGTCGGAGTTTCACTGACTCATAAGGAGGCTGAACCCTGCAGAGTCCCCCAACCAATGATAATGAAACTTAATTACGAAAGTGATAATCCACCTTAACCCTGGTTGTGGTTAAGCAATCAACGACTGCCGGACAACTGATACCCTGAGAGAGGTCGGCACAAACCACGGCCCTCAAGGTAACTGTGACAAAAGTGAAGGCAGACTGTCACTCACCCGCACCAGACGGAAAACTCTACAGGCTGCAGGTTCACACCCCATCACAAGCCAGCAAAACACCCACGAAACAAAGAAAGGTCTGTCACGGCCAGAAAACACACGTACACACACAATGACTGGAGAACTTAGAGGCTATCACCCTTTCTTACAAAAAAATGAAAAAATAAAGCACAAGAAGCGAGAGATGGGTGCACCCCATTTGTACATTCACTGCGTCACTACCTTGTTGGATTATCTCTGCATGCTCTGTTGCCATCGCTGTCGATAATCTCCTCTTTCGAATTTACTTCTTTAAAAACTTATAATAAAAAGCAGATTTTTGTGGTACATTTTTCGTTGATAAAAGCAAATATAGAATCTATAACGAAAGGACATGAACCGAATTTGAAGATTATTATATGCTTATTCCTCTAATTATGCTTTCCTTGTTAGGCTTATTTATTGGGTTTATATTACTTTATAACTTTATAACCACTACTTTTGACAATTACTATTATTATAATTTATTAATTTATTACTTGTATTATTATACCTCAATGCCGTTGTCAGTACTCCTTTTTACAATTACGGTAATTATTTCAATTTACTTGTACAGCACAGCAGCGCATAGATAATTAAGAAAGCGTACATATAATTATTATAATATATATCCTCACATGCCGAACCCACACTTTCACTCCTTATCACATTATCATTGGGATGAGGAGTGAGCACTGATGGTTTGTGGAAAAAGCAGCTACTCACTCTGGATAACAAACTTCTTTTGGGAGACGCTTTCACATTTTGGTTAATGACTTGTGCTGACAATCAAGTGGTGGGTGGCATTCACTGTCTAAATTATTGGTTCAGCTGACAAAGGGTATACTACTATACTCACAGTGGTGGACTTTTTGAATAGAATCTGAGCGCCATCATGACCAGGTTCATGCGGCAAAGTCATAACTTAAGCTCAGCATGTCTGAAGGTAATGCCAACCACCCCAAACTCTCTTTGAGATTTCATTCTACTTACCTTCAGGTCTTCTAAAGTTACCGGACCTTGGAGATCTCCTGCATACGGGTCCCGGATATCAGTTACCAGAGTAGTCGAAGCTTTGCCAGGCACACTGTTGGCCTTCTGACTCAGCGATGACGTGGTCCTGTTCCCGCCAACGCTAAAGAACCGATCATCATCTTCGTTTGCCTGCCGCTTGACCGAGTTGCTCTGACTCTCGTGAATGCTCCTCTCAATGGACTCTAAGATGCCCTCTTGCTCCACGGCCCCACCTCCGTTCGTCATCGTCCTTGAGGCGGCATCGTGATGCTGTAGAGCCTTCCGGAACTCCCCAAGATGGTAGTAAGCATCCCCTAGCCTGGTCCAACCAGCAAAGGAAAAGGTAAACGGAACAAAAATAATGAAATATGTTTCGTAAAGGAAAAAAAGGAATCAATCAAATAAGCAGCAGAGCAAATGCTAACAGTCAATCCCCCACCAGAAGGAGGCATTCAATGCTGTCGGAGGGGTTTCTCCAGCCATAATGGCAATAGTGCGCTCCCTGACGATGTTCGTTTCGTAAAAGAACAATGACAGAAGAAAAAAAAAAGGTATCATGATAGTGATGCGACTCGCTAAGCGTCCATGCTTACAGAAAAAGCCATAACAGCTTGCGCACAGATTGAACAACCATATCAAATCTTACTCGAACATATTCCCCTGACTCTGGCCATGATGACAGTCAGATTCAAGGGAGTTGACAAAGGGTATCGATGTTACTTTGACTTGCCGACGAAATAGAAACCGGACTGACGCATCCCCAGAACAGAAAGAAGGCGTGAATGCAAGGCGTATATTTGCTAAACCAAAAAAAAAGAGCAACTCTGCTTGCCGGTGATAAGCAACCGGACTGATGCCCCCCAGCAACCGGACCGATGCCCCCCAGAACCAAAGCGATTCAAAGGCGCAAACAGTACCTGTCAGTGGCAGAATGACACGTACATACAGTTTCCAAGATTTGCTGACAAGTTTTAAGTTTTTCTTTCATCAAATCAAAAGCAATTGCGGATTATTGTCAAACAAAATCACACAAGTTTGAGTTCTGCTATTGGTGCAAGGAACATGAATGTGGACGAAGCACTGAAATCCAAATTGCAAAATCACACTGATGTCCAAGTAGTCAAAGCAAGAGCAGATAGCACAATGGAACCGAGTAACCATCCATTTGAGAACGATACAGAAGAATCGTGAGTCAATGTCCAAGCCCAATCGGCCAACACCAACAGCATAACCCAATGTAGCTCTCTCTCTTGAATGGCGCCAGGCGCCCTATCTACTCTACAGCCTAACACTACAACTACAGCATGGAAGCAACCAGACAACTTGACGACCAGCGAGTGATGACGTCAACACCAATGCCGACCTCCTCTCCACCAGGTACGTCTCTCTCTTCACCCTCACTCTCCCTTGTTATCCCACACAGCGCCCTTCACTTCCCGAAGAACCACCTTCGCCCTCACCTCCCTCTGCACCCACAGGCAGCCCGGCTATGGCCGCCAGCGCCCTGCGCCCAGGCTGCGCCCTACCGCTTAGCGCCAGCCTGCCTCACCTCAGCCTAGCGCAGCGCAGCACCTCGCAGTGCTTCAGCGTGCCGGCATTGCTCGCAATGGCCAAGATCCATGCCTCACTCGCCCTCTCTGCCTATATGCCAGTGTTGCGTGTGGGCGGCCTCCCTTGAGCCTGCGCCTGGGCCCCAGTACCTGTACCCAGGCCCAATGCGGTTGGGGCCCACGAAATACAGTTGCGCCTCTTTCATCAAGGCCTGCGTCCAGATTCAGATAGTGGACCGCTTTCCCATTGGCATTTTCGGCCTCTATATCCAGCATGCAATGTCGGCCTCACGTTTATGTGCCCAGGGCCTAACAATTCTGGGGCCCTGGTCTTTCTGCATTTGCAGAGATCCGGTACTTGGTGCACTCCAACCAACTGGCGTGCGGCAACTGTATTTGACCCCACTTCGTGAAATGTTTGAACAAAGGGGCTCTCGTTGATTTGCTGGCCCGCCTTCACTTAGGGCGGGCACGAGGCTTGCTGGGGGCCTTAGCCCAGAACATGTACATCACGGCAAGGCCCCTTTTGAGGGCTCAATCCTCACATTGGATATAGGCGACCCCGCCCCAGCTTCTTTTTTCTTTTTAACAAATAAATAATGGCTAAAGGAACAAATTCAACAAAAGCCAAAAAAAAAAAGAAAAGAAAAAAAAAGAAAAGAAACACCTACCAGGAAGCACCACAGCAATAGAGAAGATGTTGTTGAGAAATTTTAGTATGCACGACAACATACATGGCAGAAGCTGCGTTAAACCACCGAAAACTCTGAGCCTCTTTTGCCGAGGCGGATTCCCCCTGCACGCCAAGCTTTGCTGAATTACCAGCGTGGCCTTTTTTGTTTTTTTTTGGCTGGCCCCGCCAGCCATTTTGGTCTGTTAGCCTCAAGCCTCCAAAATATCCGGAATGCCTCACTTTCGATTCTCAAGTTTGCCTGGGCGAGGTACTGCTTGTTTAAACCACCAGTACACGGCCCCAGCCTTGCTAAAAAGAAACCTCGTCGCCTATGAAATTTTCGGAGGCCCCGCGCCATAGATAAATCGAATCGGCGGCGGGCGGCCTCCGAAAAGGGCCCGCGGCCGATAGCTGGATGTACTGGTGGTCTAAGTATGCATGAAGCCAAGTTAAAAAGCTACAAAAGTATCTACTGCAAGTCTGAGAGGATATTCACACTAGCACTTTACTGGATGCATTTGGCTGCAATTACGACCCGCCATGCATGTAGCTGACCGCAATTACAGCCAGAGGCGAGCCCGAAAATCCCCAGTGTGAGTATGCCATGAAACCGAATCTCACCCTGGCCACTCTCAAACTGAGCCCATGAGCCATTAAATTCGGTCACTAATACTCACTAGTGATCCAATTCAGTCCATCTATGTGCAGGACAGAGGTTGTATGTGTTATGACCAAAAAACGATCCATCGAAGAAGAGCGAAAGGAAGATTTTCTGCGAGTGTACTTCATCTGAAGAACCATGCTATGCTCTTTTTAAAGCATTAATAACTTCGTTTGAGTGCAGGTTCTGTGATTCATGCAAATTGATGAAATGTCTTGTTCATGGGGGGCAAACCACTTGAATAAGTCGAAATCACGGCAGAGATTGATGTACTGACAAAGCACTCTGTGGAGGAAGGTCTTGAACTCTTGCACACGATCATCAAATGATGATTTGTGTCGCAACTAGTGCCAGACTACTTATTGAAACACTGCGACACGAGCATCTGGCGCACAGAGGCTGAGAAGAGGAGAGACAAGTATCTGTAACCGATGCCACGGAGAGATGAGGAGATACAAGCTCTCCTTGGATGCGAAAGACAGGGACAAAGACGGCGAGACAAAAGCAGAGAAACACAAAAAAGGAAGCAAAGCATCTTAATAGCAACACAAAACATAGGGATAAGATTCATAAGAAGCTGGTCATATTTGCTCCAATGCCTTGATGGTTCGCTGGGCCGAAATCACAAGGCGAGTAAATCCGTCCACAGGCAATGAATCACTCCAGCAGTCAGCAGGCTCTGCAGACAACACAATCGGTCATTTGACAGACAAGTTCAAGCATCTGCATCGCTGCGGGCTAAAACAAAACAAAACAAAACAAAAAATATATATATATATCTTTGACTTTCTGACCTGAGCACCCAGCTGTCCATGGCGTTTTCAAACCACCACTACCTCCGAGCCTCTTTTCGCAGAGGCCGATTCCCCCTGTGCACGCCAAGCTTCACCAAAGCGCCAGCACGGCTTTTTTTCTTTTTCTTTTTTGGCTGGCGCCGCAAGCCATTGGGGTCCGGTACCCCTGCGACTCCGGAGAACCTGGAATGTTACATTTCCGATTCTCGAAGTTGCCTGGGAAAAAGGTAATGGTGGTTTACGTGAAAAGATTCACGACAGCCTAGGCTCCAGAAGGCCCAGTGCAGGTCTAGCTTCTAGAAGATTGCGGTAGGTCCAAGTCTCGCACTGAGGGTCCAAGTCTCGCAGTGAGGGTCCAAGTCTTACAGCGACGGGCCCAGTCCGGTCCAGTACTTAGGGTCTAGGCATTTTTAGAACATTCTGGTAGGTTGTAGGAAGTCAGGTCCAGTCCAAAATAAGTTGCAGATCAAAAGTCAAAGTCGGAGCAGCAATTCAAGAAGTTTCCAGGGCCTGGCCAGCTCGATGCTCTGGGTCCTCTTGCTGAATCAGCGGAATTTTCCAGAGTTGGGCCAGAGGCGGATTCGGTCCACCACAGCGGAACCTTCTGGAGTCTGGCCAGAGGCACATTCGGTCCAGTACTAGCAGAACCCTCCAGAGCCTGGCCAGAGGCACATTGGGTCCAACAACAAGTATATATTCAGTACTCACGATCAGGCCAGCAGCTCATTCTGTTGCGAACAGTGGAAGTGCTGCTGGAACGACTTGTGCTGCATCGCGACTGATGTTTCTTTGGCGCTGGAGGTCTGCAGGCCGCCTGGGTGACGAAGTGGGCTGGTAGAGGGAGATGCATGGCAGCCATAGCTGCCCAGTAGACATAGCCTGGTAGGATATTTAGGTAGCTCATAGCTGGGAGAGAGAGGGGAGACAGAGAGAGAGAGTTAACTTCCGCTGTGTATATGAGAGAGATAAGAGTGGAGTTGAGTGATGTGTGTGAGGACTGTGAGTCTGAACATGCGCAAATCGCCCAAGCCTTCCAATGATATAAACAAGTTCTTTTAATAAAATTTGAGTTTCTCTCTTATCTGGTTTCCATGTAAATTTGCATGCCAAGAGTAAGCAAACTACAGAGATCATTTGATACGATTAGTTTTGAAAATGAATTGAGAAGTCGTGGAACGTGCAGAAATTCATGTTTGGTTGTCGGCAACAGAAATGGTCATTTGATCGAGAAAAGGATCTGAAGGAACAAAGAAATTCATGTTTGGTTGTGGGCAACAGAAATGGTCATTTGATCGAGACAAGGATCTAAAGGAACAAGTCCGTCGACACTAGATCACTGGGTTGAGTTAAAAAAAAAAAAAAAGGTCAGCAAATCAGTTCGCAACTTCCCGGAGCATTTGTCGACGACAAGACCAATTCATTTGTGTTAATCTGTGAACGACTTTGAAAGTATATGGGTATACCTTATCGTGCGCAAATGCACCTGATGATAATCTCCGAATGATTCATTCTTGCCATTCCAAGCTCATCATTTGACGTTGTTTACCGTACTGTGACCGAATTTGACAGTAAATGATTACCATACACCATATCATGCACGAATTCGACAATGTACCGTACCGTGCTTGAAAGCACTCATCACCAGGGTAGGCATCCACAGTTAGCCATTGTGACCGAATTTGAAGGTAAATGATTATCATACACCATATCGTGCACGAATTAGACAATATACCGTACCGTGCTTGAAAGCGCTCGTCACCAGGGTAGGCATCCACAGCTATCTCTAGAAACTCAGCCGCTCGTTTGTAGTTTGAAATGGCCAGAGCCATTGATGCTGTGTGTAGGAATGGCAGGCACGTCATAATAGACGAAACGCCACAAAAAGACACAAAAGGATGCAAATTTATTACAAAACGACAAAAAAAGGACACGGAAAGAGCTTAAAAGTTAAATCTTAAATCTTAAAAGGCACAAAGAGACAGAAAGACACAGCACAGCTTTGTAGATGCATAAGATGGTAGGGGAACATCATTCCATGAGAAATTTGAGAATGCTGTTTTCCTCTGTTTTTTAATGCAAAAATCAATCCAAGCAAGATTAAGCATCGTCAGGAAGAAGACTTGGGGCATACCGACACTAGGGAGTTTTTCTACTAAAGCTCCCCACAAATAGATTGGAGCAATGTTTCCACTTTAAAAAGAGGACTTTTCCTTTTAAGTTGCGGACGTTATCGCAGTCAGATTCACCCAGGTCTGGCTGTAATAGGAGTCAGATGCATTCAGGAAAGTGCTAGTGTGAGTGTGCCCTTAGACTGAGAACATCAAATGATCCCCAAGCGGAGTATTGACTACTATTGAGAAGATTGAATGATTGTCACTGTCCCAATGCGAGGAACTGACTCGAGCAGTCAACAAGCAGAAAAAAAAAACAGAAAGAAGACATGGTTGCATCCCTGCCGACCGCCGACACCGACCGCCGACCGTATTGCAGCCAACCGGTCGGCGGTCTGCCGACCAGTCAGAAAACAACCATCCACTATTTTTTTTTCAGATCTGAGTTGGAAGCTGTACTGCGCTTGCTGAGTACAGCCCAAATCCGCTGAGAAACTTTTGGGGATGGGGGGGTTGGGACTGGGGTGTATAGGGAGATATAGGGGGGTATAGGGGGGTATAGGGGTGGTATAGGGGGTATTGGGGGGGGTTATGAGGGTATTAGGGGCCGGTTTGTGGGTGTTGGGGGKGTGTGTGGGGGTATTTGGGGTGGGTATGGGGTTGTTTGTGGGGTTATTAGGGGTTCTGGACCCAAAAAAACAAAAAAAAGATTTTTTTTTTTTTTTTTTTGCGGGGTGCCGACGACCCCCGATCGGTAGGGGTGCCAACCAGCGGACCGGTCGGCGGGTCGGCAGCCGACCAGTCAGGGGTCGCCGACGGTCGGCGTGTGCAACACTGAAAAAAGACCCAAAAAAAGAAAAAGAAAGAAAGCCAAAACAAAACCTCCACAAGCGGCCTGGCTCAGTTGGTTGAGCACGTAAGTGGTACACAGGAGGTCGTGGGTTCGATTCCCCATGGCATCCACAACCCCCTGGGTGGTATACTTTGGGTGCACCGACTGAGAAAGTTGGCTTGTCCTGCTGGCTGATTGTGGAAGTTTCGTTGCTTACTTTCCAGCCCGCGCCAGGTGTTAGGAGCTTGGGTGCTGCTCCCCGCACAGAGCAGAGTTAGGTAGGTGTAGACTCATAACCTCAGGATAGCTTAGGCCTAGCTCGAATATTTAAGGCTGTAGTTAGTTGGGTTTCTCTGTCGCACACTCTAGGGTAGTTCTCAGCTGGTAAACTAGACTTACTAAAGTAATAGTACAGTTGTCCTACGGGACATCCGTTAAAATTGGAACGATACAGAGAAGATTAGCATGGCCCCTGTGCAAGGATGACATAAATAGAGAAATGGTCTAAAATTCTCTAAATAGTAAATTAAATAAATAAATAAATAAATAAAAGTAATAGTATAGTTGGCCTCCTGCTGTAGCTTGGAGTAGTTAGTAGTGCGAGATGCGGAGGGAAGAATATACAGTAGTAAACATGCAACTGTCCTGCATAAGAGAAGGCAGCTTGCTTTTATTTAATATATGTTTTCTCTTGTATGCAATGCTGCTTGCTTGCTGAGGGGGCAAAAATGTTAAGAAACAGGGGACAAACTTCCATATCGGTACAGAAAACTTACCAAGGCCCCTCAAGCACGTCCTTTGTGTTGGAAGCACCACCAGAAGTTGCTCAAAAACTTGTATCGCATACTGTGGCAGGCAGGAGAAACACGCAAAGGGAAAACAGATTGATCATGAATCCGAGGACCGAGGCTACTGGCAGGACATTGTGAATTCGGAATTGCACCATCAAATTTCCAATGCCGGTCCACGGGTAAATGTCTGGACGCTGTAACAGCTTCCTTAGCGGGAACCAGTCAGTAAGCTAACTGCACGAAAGGCGATGGAGAGGGGGAGATAGAAAGAGGGGTAGAGGAGGGATTCAAGGAAGGAGACAAGGGCAACAGGCAGGGCGACGAGGAGGGCGACAAGGAGGGCGACGAGGAGGGCGACGAGGAGGGCGACGAGGAGGCAGGAGGGAAAGGAGGAGAGAGAGGAGGAGAGGAGGAGAGGAAGGTAGAAAGGGAGGGAGAGAGCGAGCGGGAGGGAAATACAGGGCAATAGGGAGGGACAGGTAGAATGGGATGGGAGACAGTGAGCAAGAGGGAAATCAGTGCAAATAAAACCGAGTCATTAAGCGACTGAAAATGCAGTCTTACCTTGTCCTGACTGTTCATATAGGGCCACCAGCCTGGCAAAACCACAAAAGATCCTGCTTCACGAGCAGTTTTTCTTTTTCCTTTTTATTAAACTGAGCTAGCCCCTAGCTCATGTAGTTGTATGGCTGAGCTGCACCGGAAGGTGCTGATTTTGAGGCCCACTCATGTATGTTGGCCTATGATTATGTTCTATCTTACATCCCAAGCAGGTTGTACTGGAGGTAGGGTTGGGTTGGAGCAACCTAGCTTAAGGGAGCATGCCCAAGTTCGGCTACGGCAAAAAAAATCTGTACATCCAAGTTGAGCAACGTCCGAATAATTTCACACTCTTTGATCATTAGCCAATCAATGCGCACGAGTTGCTAATTTGCCAGTTAACTACCGTCTTCCCCCGAACAGAACGTACGGTCATTTTCGCTGCATCTGGACAGAAAGGTGAGCCAAATACGACTATAATGACCGTACGTTCTATTCGGGGGAAGACGGCAGGGGCTTCCAACCTAAGGATACCTGTCAAAGCCATCAGCCTCAAAAATAATCATAAGAACAAGTAGGGCTCCATTCTTTTTTTTTTTTTTGGGGGGGGGGGGGCGTGGGATTGTTCACTATAGTCGGAGTTGTGATTGTATTTTCTGGTATTTAACTTATTTTTCTTTCTTTACTTTTTCTGCACATTTTTGTATGTTCCTCGAGTTGTCTGGACTGGATGTGTAGTTTTGGAATTTGTGATGTCTTGACAGACAAAAGTGCCTGCTCGGACAAAGTGGAGCACTGGTTCCCACATTTGACCGTTTTGAGGTCCAGTAGACCTTGTCCCTATTTGGGTTGGACCTTGGTTTGTCCGGTAGTGACTGCTCCAGCCCTCATACTTTCTGGATCTGCCCCTGCTTTACCAGCACATAGACCTGAATGTTCAGTCGGGACCTGCTGTACCAGCACATAGACCTGAATGTTCAGTCGGGACCAAAGCTGGCCACTTTAGGCCCAGGTAACTAGACCAGGACTGAAGCCTGCATCTAAGACCATCGGTCGTCGTTTAGACTGGACCTCTGATAGGTCCAGCGGTATATGATTGGGCCAGTGCTCAGCTTGGGGACAGAGAGTTGAGAGCTTCAGTTCGACGACAGGCTGCTGGAGAGAAGCACTGGAGGTAGGATCAGCACATTTCCAGTGTAGCGTTAGGATAGAGGAGTATGAAGGAGGCATTCGGCAAGAGTGGCCTGCAGCAGCATTGGGCAAGAGGAGCACTTCTCCGGTCACCATAGCTGTGAAACTATGAACCGGCAGCGGTCAGACACCACTCTGCAATCTGCTGCAGTTCAAGGGGGTACCTTTCACTGATCAGGTATGTGTGTGTGTGTGTGTGTGAGAGAGAGAGAGAGAGGAGAGATTTCTTCTCTGCTACCCTCCATATCCGCCTTCTCCTTGACTCCTGAGAAAAATCAGAGACTTGGGGCGACTATTTCAGGGAGACTTATCCCAGGTTCAGACAGCATTGAACTGCGGACTGTTGTAAGAGAGAGAGAGAGAGAGAGAGAGAGAGAGAGAGTACCATCAGTTGGACTACGGGATTCTTTCTTTTCATATTCTCTCACAGTTCTTCCTACTCTCTTCCCTCTCACTATCTACGGCTATCTTCCCATGCACGTGATCTGCCAGGGTGGACTCCATCCATGTATATCTCCCCTCGTGGCCGTTCTGAGTGATGGTTTGGCGTGCATTGTCTCTGTCTGACTCACATGAGTTGTATTGATTGGTTTTCAGCCTTCCTTACATTGTGTATGTGTATTCCTTCATTTTGGTGACTCCTTGGTTCACCGACAATAATAATTACACCTTGTAGAATCTGATTAAGTTTTCTTAGGAATTTTTTGCCTATCTGTTGGTAGGCATGCATCAAGCTCATGTCAGAAGTCAGGATGCTGGCCAGCTCTTTTTTTTTCCCGCCCACCGTCCGGAAAAAAAAAGAAGAAAAAACATGATGCAACTCCTCTATCCTGGTCCTGGCCAGCTCTGCTACCACTCTCAGATAATAGCAGAACTGAGTGCCCTCTGACTTTCGAACACCATTATAGAGTGCCCTGATAGTTGATAAATGACTTCCGAAATTCGAACGCTATTAGACTAGTATTAGTATATTACGCTTACACACATTTGACTGAGATGGAAGCACACTTGATTGGGACTTCACACAAAACTGGAATTGAACATTCACACCAAAAGTCCTTTGGGACATCGTTAAAAGTGGAATGATAGAGAGAAGATTATCATGGCCCCTGCGCATCATCATATATTAAAAAAAGAATACATATATATATTGTCACATCACTACAAACTAAAAGAGCGCACTTTGCGGAACAAAGAATAAAAGCAAAAAACGGGCACAGTGATAACATGCAAAAATAAAAA